GATGGAAGGACTTAGGATAGAAAGCCTGGCTGCTTTTGTTCATGTATCGTGATGGTTTATAACATGAAAGTATGCAACTCTATTGATGCAGGTATCTTCACTTGGTGGACTAGGAAGAGTTGATGTCCTTGACTGAAACACACGGAACCATTATGGACCCTAGGGCAGCTATCTTTTTATAGCAGTACAGACATTTCATCTCTTGCTCCAAAGAATCAGTTGGTCAAGAACTCTGACAGAAGTTGAGTTCCGCTGTTGGAAAAACTTTATAGCCTGTTAAGAGATCAGAATAAACATTCTGATGAAGATGAATCAAGAAACAAAGGAACAAAAGGCAGAATGCATAAACCTATTACTGGTCAAAGGTCCTGCTTGGAAGAATCTCCAAATTTTGTCATCCCAGGATGACTTTGTTCAAGCAGCAGGAAAGATCTGGAGTTTGAAGAATCAAAAATTGAGGGGACAGTAGAGAGTTAATATAAAGGACCACATGAATTCTGAATATACAGGTATTCTGACATTCTGACAGAGTTCTTTTTTGGCGGGGCATTTGATGTACTGTGTCATTACTATGATATAGTAAACTTTCCTGAGAAAGATTGGCTGATCACAACCAAACATGACAGCAAAAGGGCAAATCATCTCACCCAGGACAATTGGCCCAAACTCTGCTGTATATTTGGCTATGTTGATGTTTGTTTTGGCAAATTTATAGATAAGAGGTGGGATATGGGATGAAGAGATAAACGCCTGTAACTTTAGAGAGGACAAAGCGTTGCCAAGTTTGTTTATACTAGTGATAAAGGTTGAAAGACATTTCTTTATATATATTTACTTTTTTTCTTTCCCTTTTCTTTCATGTTTACTCCTTCCATTCAGGGGTGGGCTGCTGGGGGTTTCCAGGGGTTCGGGCCATTTTTGCCCTCCCGGAGACTCAAGGAAAGCCTCCGGAGCCCAGGGAGGTCAAAAATGCCCCCCCCACCCACCGTGATGCAGGAGACCGACTAGTCCACGCCCACCATGGCCACGCCCACCCAGTAACCGGGAAGCTAAACTTTTTGAAGCCCACCCCTGCTTCCATGTCCCAATTTTTTTTTAAAAAAAGTTAGCTTACGTTAGATTTTACCGTTCTAACCCAAAGACCGCGCACAACCTTCATAAAACGGTGCCCAGGTGGTGTTATATAAAGCTATAATGACAAGAGACGGCGCTGTCTTCCGAAGGATGGGGGCGAAAAGTGAGAAACATGGCCGGAGTAGCTGGAGAGGGAATGAATGTCTGTCACCTTGCTTGATGGGCTGCGAAGCATGTGGGGCTGGGAAGGGATGGCGGTGGGCTGAATGAAGGCATTTGCTGGCGTCTGTTGGGCTAAGCAGGGGCAGTTGAGGATGTCGCGGGTACAGCAAGCAGTCGCAGAGCTGTGTGGTTCTGGGGCTGCTGGCCGTCCCACGGGGCAGGGTGCAGGATGGTCAAAGGCTGAGACAGGCAGCTGGGGAGAACTGCAGGCAGTCTTGTTGAGGCTTAGGGTTGGAAGGCACCAAGCCTGGAAGGGCTTAGCTTGAGGTAGTTAGTCATTGAATGACCCGCAATCCTTGCTTAACAACTGCACAAGGAAAGCTGGGATTGTTGTCGTAAGTCACTGAGGTTACCTCTCACTTTACAATTGCCATTCTTTCAATTGTGGCCATAAATTAAAGACTATCAATTAGCTATGTTTGTGTTCTGAGCCAAACCCTTTTCCAACAAAACAAACACGAACCAAAGGGAACAAAAACCTTTTGACGATCCTTATGAATCCCCGGTTAAAAGGCTACTGCAAACTAACCTTGATAAGCCCAAGCCTAGCCAAAACTGCGTGAGGCTGCCAAGAATAGCAGATAAGAAATATTTTACAACACACGAGTCTTCAAATACCAACTTAAGATACTGCAATGTCCACGAGGATGAGTTTCAAAACATCTTTGCTTCCTGCAAAGAATGTTCGCTGCACAGCTGGCTTTTATCTTCTTGAAGGAGGGGCCATTACCTTGCAGCCTTACTCCCGAGTCGCCTGTGCTGTTGTAGCTGCTCTTTCCTACGAGCAATCCTGTGCGCACACGCACTTGGCACAGGCTCCTCGGGAACCTCCTCCTCGCTACTGCCAGCCCCCATAATCTCTGAAGGCAGCAGTCCACTCCCTGATGGACCTGGCCCCTCATCTGAGTCCTCGCTCTCCTCAGCCGTCCGCACCTGCTTCCGGCTAACCACAACAGTTTGATACTAAAGAGGCAGCTGGTATATCTCTGCTACCAAGAAGAGACACATCTAGTTTTATTCATGATGGGAGCACAAACATTCATTTATCATTTCCAAGACCACAACATTTGAAAATCCTGAGTGTTTCATATATTCATTGGCAGCTCTGTAGACTCTCTTCATTCTTAGTCCCAAACACTTTTGCCTTGTAAACTACCACTAGACAATGCCTGTAATCCTGCACCACAATATTAACGACGTTACAAAGTCAATTGCAAACAGCAATTCCACTGGACTAACATATGTAAATTGTGTTTTGCATAAGGGGACTGTAGAAGAACAATATATAACAATGGCTGATTTTTAACAATAAAAACCATGTCTCTAGGATTTTGTTTCCTTAATTAGAAAAGTCTCTCAAAAGATTCCCCCTCCCCTCCTTCAAGTTTGTAGAGCATGAAAAAAAATCACATCTGCATTTATGGATTTTTTTTCTTGTCCTGAAGAGTAAAACGTTTTCGTTTTCTACGACACAAAAGAAATGTAACTTTAATAAGAATACACTTTTTACATTTTAAGTGAAAATTTAACTACAGTTTAGGCAGATAACCATTTTCTAGGCAATGAACTATTAGTTTTCAATCATGGGTCTACAGTTAATAAAATATTCATTTCATAAAATATTAAGTTTGGAATTCTGGGTACTACAATCAGTTGGAAGAATTGGAAATTGGAGGGAAAAGGAAAGAGCAAGAGATACAGGGATTTCTTCAAATATAATCTTGGTTATTCATCTCCAAAGAGGAAAGGAACAAAGCTATACATATTTAATATTCTAGTAATATAAATGTATTAAATAAATAAATTCTCCCAGTAGCATATTGGCAGATAGGTGTTATATGCACATGCTAAATGTTACCTGAGAGTTTTTTATTTTATTTTCCTGCAGATGTATAAACCTCAGTTTTAGGAAGAAGGATGCCCTCTAAATCAAAAAAGCAATCTACCTTTTGAGGGCTAGCTTACTATGCATGTTTCATTATGAAGTATAGGCTACACGTAACTCAGAGCCTTCCTTGTTATATATATATTTTTAATTTCTCAATACTTCAGATCACGTAACTGATTAAAAAAAAATAACGAATGCTTTCTAGACGTAGAAATTTGCACCCATTTAGAATTGTTTACTTGAATTTATCCAGATTCAAGAATTTGGGGAAAAGAAGTTCACATTTTAAGCCTTTGTGGTGAGTGATTACGTATAATAAAATGTGCGTAGACAATAACTGAAATGTAGACGTATATATATGAATTGTACTTAGGAGTGGCTAATGTGCAATCCGCAAAGTTAAAAGATTAGCTTAAATTTTATCTCAAAGCTTACTTAAGCAATGTGTTAAAAGTAATGCTGTTTTAAACAGCTTTATCTGCTCAGCAGATTTGAATGTGGCGGTAGAGCCAGGTCAGCGTTATATTAGACTAGAAAGCAACCTGGACGTGCCAGATCTAAAACAACCAAAATGAAATAGAACAGAATAGAATAGAATTCTTTATTGGCCAAGTGTTATTGGGCACACAAGGAGTTTGTCTTGGTGCAAATGCTCTCAGTGTACATAAAAGAGAAGATCCATTCATCAAGAGTCAAGAATCATAAGGTACAGCACTTAATGATAGTCATGAAAATGCACAAAACCCCTTAAATATGATCCTGTTGCAAACAGCATGTTTAATTGTATCCCTTCCGCAAAGACTTGTGATAACCTTCCTTCACTGCTTTTTCTTCACATGAGCACCTCTGGAATTTAAAACACGACGAAAGCTACCAAATTAGATGCTTTTAAGATTAAACCCAAGCACAGAAGATAAAGTTGCCATTATCATGAGCACTATGCTTCTGAAATACCTAAATAATGCAGAATTGCCAGCTGATGTCAAATTATTATTCCATTCCAAATACACGCGGTCAACTTATGACCATTCGTGTAATGACAATTCGAAGTTACGACAGAGCTGACAAATACTCGCACCTGTGACCAGCACAATGTCCCTGTAGCCACATGATCAAAATTTGAGCACTTGGCAACAGGCATGCAGTTATATTTGCAGTGTCCTGGAGTCATGCGATCACCATTGCTGGCCTTCTTGTACTGTATCACATTAGTTCAGTATACTGTCCTTCAAATGATCAGAAAAGTCTTCCAACAAGTCAATGGGAGAAGCTAGATTAGTGTAGAGGTAAAGGTTCCCCTCACGCACATACATGCTAGTCATTCCCAACTCTGGGGGGGCGCTGCTCATCTCCATTTCAAAGCCAAAGAGCCAGCCCTGTCCAAAGATGTCTCCGTGGTCATGTGGCCGACATGACTAAACTCCAAAGGCGCATGGAATGCTGTTCCCTTCCCCCCCAAAGTGGTCCCTGTTTTTCTACTTGCATTTTTATGCACTTTCGAACTGCTGGGTTGGCAGAAGCTGGGACAAGGAACGGGAGCTCACTTGGTTATGTGGAGCAAGGCATTCGAACCGCCGAACTTTCTGATCGACAAGCTCAGTGCCTTAGCCATTGAGCCACCGCGTTCCCTGCATAGTTCAGTATACTGTTCTTCCAATGATCAGAAAAAGCCTTCCAACAACTCAACGGGGGACAGCTAGATTAGTGTTAACCACCACATAATTCACTTAATGACCATAGCAAAAAACCCAAACCCTTGTGTTCCTAAGGCAAGGACGACATGCAGCTGGTTCCTAAAGCAGCTTTTCTTACCTACCTGCATAAAGCTTCAATGGCGTCTCTGTCCAGAAAGTCATGTTCTCTCTTCACCGCAGTGATGTCAATGGGAAAAATAAGATCTGTGAAGATCAAGACGGATGAGTAATCAGAAAAAAAAAAAAGTTCTTCCCACAGATAAACTTTTTCCAAAGAAACCTTCTCGCTCCAAGAGGCAAGTAACTAACTGTGACAATAAACATTTCTTTTTATACTCTCTTGGGCGAAACGTGCAGAAGCTTTAAGGGGGAATCAACATCTCCATGTGTTACACCAGAGATCTCCAAACTTTGCAACTTTTAAGACTTGTGGACTATACTGGCTGGAGAATTCTGGGAGCTGAAGCCCACAAGTTTTAAAGTTGTCAAATTTGGGGAGCCCTGTGTTACAGGAAGGAAAAACCGGTGGGAAAGGTAAGGTATATTGTTGGGAGACAAATACAAAATAGCGTGAGCTGTGGAAAACCAAGTTGGCCTTTAAAAACAAATATTAACATTATGAAGAAACCTTCCCGGGGTCTGTATGTACACCGTTTAGGTAGCACATTTGTTACCTGAACCTAAGTTCCAGCAACACCGAAAAGCAACAAAGGAGACATTTTAAAAAACAAGATTTATCAAGGCAAGAGACAAACAAACATTTTAAGTACAGTTCTCCTCGACTTACGACCACTATCGAGCCCAGAATTTATGCGGCTAAGTGAGAAATTTGTTGAGTTGTGTGTGTCCCATTTGACATAATTTTTCTTGCCACATTGGTTAAGTGAATATTTGCAGTTGTTAAAATTAGACACCCGACTGTTAAGTAAATCTGGCTTCCCCATCGACTTTGCTTGTCAGAAGACAGCCTGATAGAAAAAGAGTTGTAAATCACTTTTTGCAGTGCCGTTGTAACTGGTCACTAAATGAACTGTTGTAAGTCGAGGACTTCCCGTAGACCGATAGGTAATGTTCTCAATGAAAGGATCAACGGCTGTAAACTTTATGTTCTCTCCTGGGCTGATGGATCTTGTGCTCTTGTGACCCATCAAGCAAAAGGCAGCCTACTAACTGTGTGTGGTAATTCTACTTGGGTTTAGTTAAGTCTCTTCTTTGCCTGGACGGACTGCGAAAACAACGGGCTTGACAAACACCTGCCTGGCCACCATGCGCGAGGGAAAAGCTGCCTTTGCTTTGTCAGTTGTGCAAACCTGTCTTAGGTAAACACTTGGGGGGAGAGCAAGAATGAAGCAACAACAGGGACAACCACCTGAAAAGAAGGCTGGAAATTTACCAGTAAACCTGCAGTGGTAAGTAGACAAGTCAGATTTTCCAGCATCTGCAGTTCACTGAGGGGCAGGTGGCTCTTCATCCTTTTATTCTACAGAACTGGCAACGGCTCTAAATCAGATTACAGGTGTGTATTTGTATCACAGCGTGGCTTCTCTAGCTTTTCCTCCAGGAGCTTGAGGCAGTTGGCGAAGTTTTCCCCTAGCAACTTTGCCAGTTCATTTAAACTGACACAACTACTACGGGAGGGAGGCTCAACGAAAGAGTAAAATACTGGAAACCTGGTCTCCTTGTTACCAGCATCTTTGCTGCTTTGTGAATCGTAGCACATGCTTCTCAAAACCTGCCATTGACTGTCGCTGCGTGACGGGACTTGGATTACTGCACACTCTGCATTTTTATCAAAGCCAGATGGAACAGGATCCCACGTCAAAAGTTTAGTGAACGTCCTCTTGTGCCGCCCTTTCTTTTGGAAATTAGTGAGCTACTTTGACGTTACTATATATGCTTTGTTCTAGAACAATAGGAATAAGACTTGTAATAACACTTTCAGTATTTTACAGCCCTCTCTCTAGAGTCAGCATATTGCTCCCAACAACCTGGGTCCTCATTTTACCGACCTCTGAAGGATGGAAGGCTGAGTTAACCTTGAGCTGGTCAGAATTGAACTGCTGGCAGCTGGCAGAATTAGCCTACAATACTGCATTTTAACATGCATTGAGCCACCATGGTTCCTTTTCTTGGTTTCCCTATCTTGGCATCGGGAAAATAAATTTCCCTATCTTGGTGTCCTCCAGATGAGTGGGAACTACTGTATATATTCTCATCCTCCTTAACCGATTGCCATATTGACTAAAAAAAATGGGAATTCTAATCTCCTTACATTTTACTCCACAGTACCGATAGCTGCGGCAGCAGCTTGGCTTCTATCATGGCATCGGAGGAAGATTTTTATTTGCAGAGATTACGAAGAACGGCAAAAGGTTTAAGCTTATTTTGAAGGACAACTTCCTAGAAATTTTGGCAAGAGCAACGAAATCAAAGCAGCCAAATATAGAACGTTGAAAAAAATAAGAGGTAGACAATAGCTAGAGCTATCCTGCGGAGATATTTCATATTAATGTTATTATTACTTTAATTTTCTAAAATAGACCCTTCTTGGTTTGGTGTCTGGCCCAAATCTGAAGAATATAATAGACGGAAACTCAGTTGTTAAACAGATAAACAAAAGAGCTGCCAATTGTTGTCTCTGTGAGTGCCATTATTCTCTGCGATTGCCAATGCAGCTGTGAGTTAAAGCCTTAAATTAATCATTTCTTAAGAACACTCTGCTTAGCTGTGCTAAGTTGTCCAACAGTAAATAATGAAACATCTCTATTCAGTTAACCAAACAGCTGCAATGAGATGCTGATCCCGAAGTTTCCCTCCGACTACAAGAAAACTTCTGATCTCTGCTGCAGATTTTTAGGGAGCAAAAGACTATGAAAAGCCTTTTGAGTCACACTGACGTTACACCAACGCGAGCAGAGTTTTAAAATATTTTATCTCTTGTTAAATCTTGCATGGTCTGGCAAGTGGAACTCACCCTGAACATCCTAGCTGTAAATTCTCAATAGAAATCCACCTCTGGATTTCTATATTCAGGCTTTTAACAGGGTTAACCGGGTCAATACATAAATATCTAGAGGTTGCAACATTTAAAGAACTTTAACATCAAGAAGCATTACAACAGTCAGGAAGTCTTGTAACAAAAGAGTTGAGTATATAGGGATGCAGGAACATACAAATTATCTATTACTTTATTTTCAGACTTAAAGCTTAGAAATGTTTTAAGGTGCAGGTTGCAAGATGATCCAGAATTAAATTAGGAAATGAATTTTAAAAAGATTTCAGTTACATATACCGTTTCCCCCCAAAATACAGCCTACCCTGAAAGTAAGTCCTAGCTTGATTTTTTACATGTGCACTCAATATAAGCCCTACCCCCAAAATAAGCCCTAATTAAGATCCTGCCCACTCCAAAGTGCACAGGTAAAAATTAAGCTAGGGTGGGGATGGGTGTGTGTGGAGCTGCCCTACTACCTACCCTTGGACAGTTTTAGCCAGGCTTCACATACCCTGACACCTGCCTTGCCAGTCCATTTCTTCTGCAGCCAGCAAGGCTGGCAAGGCTTTCCTGAAGGCCTCTGTAGCTGATAACAAAGCTCTGGATCGATCTGGAGCTCTGTTATCGGCTGCAGAGGCCTTCAGGAAAGCCTTGTCGGCCACAGAAGAAATTCTTGAAGGCCTCTGACAGCGAAAAGGAGGATGGGGGTGACATGCACAAGTGAGGTTAGTCAGGGGATGCCATCCTCCGAAAATAAGACCTGGTGCCTTTTTGGTGTCTGTCTGTCTGTCTGTCTGTCTATCTATCTATCTATCTATCTATCTATCTATCTATCTATCTATCTATCTATCTATCTATCTATCTATCTATCTATC